GTACCAGTGGTAATATTTTGCCAGGACAGTTTTTCTTATAGCTCACAGGATTCACAATGTGTTTAACTATCAGAGAAATGAAAATTAAAATTACTTTGAGATTCATCTCTTACCCCCTAGTCTGAAATGTCTAAGATCCAAAAATCAAATGATGACAAATGCTGGTGAGAATGTTAGGAAAGGGGAACATTGCTGGTGGGAGTACAAACTGGTGCAGCCGCTACGGAAATCAGTGTGGAGATTCCTCACAAAACAGTACATCTTCCACATGATCCAGCTGTATCACTCTTCCCCATATACCCAAAGAACTCGGTATCCTACTGCAGAGATACATAGACGTCCATCAACTTATGAATAGTGAAAGTTTTGTACATTTACACAATGAATTATTATTCAGCTGTTAAGAAAAAAAAGAAAACCAGAATCATGACATCTGCACGTAAATAGATTGAACTGGATGAAGTAACCCAGACCCAGAAAGATAAATGGCTCACATTCCCTCTCCAAAGTGGATGCCAGCTTTGAATCTTTAGTTATGTGTGTTTCTATTAGAAAATCCACAGAGGTCAGAGAATTAGGAAATTCTTATTAAAATTTTTCATACTTAAGAGAAACATTTTATTGTGTTTTTATAAAGCAAAAATAGTTAAGCCATACTTGTGCTGTTTTTCTGAAAATTAAAATAGCGCTTTATATTTAAAACAAAGCAACAAAAACAAAAGGACAATTCTTAGTAACTTAACATTTGAACTAGATTGCTATTTAAATCTGAAATTAAAACAAAATTATCTACAGTCTTCATCAATAGGTTACCTGATAGTAACTCATTATTAGTCTGCAGGTTTTCTTTGTTTGATATAAATGCACTTCAGTCCCTCAGGTTTTATCTGTAGGCACAGTATATTAGGATATAGTGGATTCCTGATTATATAGAATGGTTGTAGGTTGGTGTATTAACCTTTCACTTTGTATTCTGGCTTTTGGGTTCTAAAGAATTATACTTGAAGCTAAATTTACTGAATTGTTTTTGGAATTCTAACCTTCTCTAAGAATTATTTTTTTCAATTTAAGTATATTTTAGCATCCTGACTAGGTGTATAGATATCATCATGTTTTTCAAATGGGGGGAATCTCATGATTTCCAGGTTTGTCCCCAGCTCTGGCTTCTAGTGATGCTGTTGGCTGTTTCTTGAATATTTGAAACTACAGGCACTTGACAACAATTATGGATCCAGCTTGAAACCTCTTCCCCAATGCCCTCTTGCTTCTGAAGACCTAGTCTCATGTAGCCTAGGCTTTGAACTTACTATGTTGTCAAGGATAACCTTGAACTTCTGATTCTATTTCCTCCACCTCCCAAGTGCATGAAACACCACATTGGTGCAGATGAAACCCAGAGCTCCATGCTTTCTAGGCAAGCTTTCTACCACCTGAGGTATACCCCAACCCAACTTGCCTTTCTAAAACAAAATTTGGCATCAGTTTTTCATGTCTATTTTTTATACAGTTTAAAATCCCTAAAATACTTTTATTTGTATTTATAAGTAGAAGACTATCTTTGAAGTAATAAGTAAAGTAATAGGATTATTATAACCTGGTTTAGGTTATTAAAGAGTGTTTCTTAAAAACTTTGGCAGTTAGCTTGGAATACTTTAACATTTTTGCTTCCATGTTTTTAATAACATAAGAAAACAGAGAATATGGATTTTATTTTGTTACCCATGTTCTTAATATAATATGAATTCTCTTCAAATATCTACTCTGTGATATAATTATTTAAAATCTGAATTATTTTCCAATATGTACAAGTAAGAATATTTCACAGACACTTGATTACTAGTTTGTCTTAACAAACCAGAAATAAAATAAAGGGTGCTGCAATTATGCATTGGCCCCTCCCTCTCATACCTTGTTTTATACTTGGTATTTCTCTTACTGGAAGACTCAACTAGTGTTAGCAGAAAGAATGTGAGCTATGAAGCCAAACAAAATTTGTTCACATTCTGGCTTTAGTATTTATTGTGGACTGAGAAATTTTATCAGTTTTATCTTTGGTAAAATGAAAATAAAGATGATGAAGGTACATAATCAGGTTTTAGGGACAGTAACATTAAGGGTTAACTATAATAATAGTTGTTGCCCGATTTTAGTAGATGCTTGAATTTGATGATCATATTGATCAACAGTTGAAGACTTTCTCTTCATTTGTTCAACAGAATTCATTGGACTCTATTTCATACTATCACTTTATATATGTTTTATTATCCTCTACTTAATTATATTCCCCAGAGTTCCTTATATATGTTTATGGATTTGAATATATAAGAAGTAAACTCTGGGACTGGAGAGATGAGGCTCAGTAGTTAAGAACACTGGCTGCTCTTGCGGAGGACCCAGGTTCAGTTTCCAGCACCTACATGGCAGCTAACAACCATCTATATCCTCAGTTCCAGGGATACTACACTCTCTTCTGACCTCTTCTGATCTCTGTGGGCATTGTATGGCATGGGTGCACATACATACATGCAGGCAAAACATTCATGTACATAAAAATCAGTAATTAATAATTAATATAAATTTAAAAAAGAAGTAAACTGTTCCAATCGTGAGGGTGCAAATCCCAGCACTTGGGAGACAGAGGCAGGTGGATCTCCATGAGATCTATGCCAGCCTATTCTAAGGAGCTCCTATTTAAAAAAATAAAAAAAGTTAAGGCTGACAACTATTTTCAATGTATGAGCTTGGATTTTCTGATTTTAGGAATTCCTATTTTATCCTCACACTGGATTTCTGTTTTCCCTAACTCTATGTCTGTTGTTTTAGACAGAGTCCCTGCAGGATAGGAGTTGTTAATATCTGGGTATGATTGTGCATAGGCAGGTGAGCTGAATGATTCTGATAAAAATCAGAAAATGTACATGAATGTTATGTAAGGTGAAGATTTTAGGAATAAAGGAATTTGGATAGACGATTTAAAAATATTTTATTATTTTTATGTGTATGAGTGTGTTGCCTGCATGTATGTAAGTGTACCCGTGTTGTGTAATGCCCTTGGAAGTCAAAAGAGGGTGTCAGTTCCCCTTGAACTGGAGTTAAGTATGGTTGTTAGCCACCGTGTGGGTGGTGGGAATTGAACCGCTGGGTCCTGTGCAAGAGCATTCAGTTCTCTTAACTGCTGAGCCATCTCTCCAGCCTCAGAAGAGGTTTTTTGTT